AAAATTCATTAATCTGTACAACATATTTTCTTCTAATAAAGTGAATGTCCTTTTTTCTGCTCTAATTATTTGACCCCAAAAATCAAAGCCTTTGAATTCAACATGCCTTTGAAATCTACATTCCTTTCTCAATTTAATACACTCCACCAACATCCTTTCTACCCTGCTTACTGGCCCAAAAAATGTGTGTTATGGTTATGAAGCACACAACAGTAGATTTCCAACAACAACAAAATAAAATTGCATTTATATTTACTGGTCCTGGTGGTGGTGTATGTATTCTCCCCAAGATCCCAGTAGCTTTTCGTATTCAAATAAAGTTGTAAAAATCATCTAAAAGGTAGGTAGAAAAATTACATCGCATCACAAACACAGAAACAAAACGAGTTCCAAACGTCAACTCCCTATATGACCTTCTTGCTGTTTAGGCTCTAAATCAACCACTAAATCACATACTTTAGAGATTTGCCATGGGCTCATATATCATTAGGGGACCAGAAGAGCAGAGGTATTAGACATCGACGACGATATACCAACCATGTCATGGCATGGCATGCCACACCACGCCAACACATTCTACTTAGGCCCAGAAAGCTCACACCAATGATGAAAAAATACATATTTATACCAATGACAGCAGGTCCAACAACAACAACAACAGCAACACAATGACGATAAGGACCACCACATCAACATCATCGGATCCCACAACCAAATGACAAATAAAAAAGAAGAGCAGATTTTTAAGACAACCCTACAACTCAAACCAAATGGCGGCCGAATGAGGTGTAGTGTGATAATTATGGGGAAGAAAATAATGAGTTTTTAATAATTTTGCGAACAAAAAATATTAAATTTTTTTTTTTTTTTTTTTGAAGTTTGTCATTGGAAAACCTGTTAGAGTCTAGGATTGAGATTTGGAGGTGATTTTAAAAATACTTACTAAAATGTATTAAATATGGTATTTATGTAAGGAATTGCGTTGGAAGTCGATAATTTGGCATAAGGATCACCTGTTGTGCAACACGGTTGATACAAGGAGGTGTTGATGTAGAGAGGTGTTTTTGGAAATGTGTACGAAGTATAAGAAATGAAAGAAGCTAATTACATCTAAAAATACATGTTCAACCCAATACATATGAATGAGATGAAATTTTGCAAACAATATATCTTTGGCCTAAAGACGAACCCTATTGAAATTGGGGATAATCGGATCATATTTAGATATAGCTCCAATATATCTTCAACCGAATTCGTGCGCCAAATGGCTAATATATATCCAAATGACTAATATAAGTCCAAATGACCTGTATTTTGCTACATCCCACCGAATTCAGTCTAAAAGCAAATAAACCAAATTTTGAAAAAAATCGATCCGATATAGATATAGCTCCCATATATATGTTTCATCCGATTTAGGGGTTTAAGTCCCTCACATGCGTAATATGCACTCCACAAGAGATCGAGATCGGTTCAGATTAGGATATAGCTCCCATATATATCTTTATCCGTTATCATGCTTATTGTGCACCAAATGGCTAATGTCAGCTCAAATGGACTGAGTCTTGACAATTACGACTGAATTCATCCTAAAAACCAGTACCTATAGTGTGAGATAAAAAAAAACTGCAAAAAAAATCAAACGCCATAATTTTTTTTTTTTTTTTTTTTTGAAAATTTATAGCAAAAAATGTCGGAAATTGCATCAAAATTTAAAAAAAGTTTAGATTTGTTCGAATTGGTCACCTTTGGCACGAATTATGACCTTCAAACGGCTGAGTCTTGTTGGAATGTCCAAGGTCTGCGGCCAAAATGTTTGCCGGCCAAAGATTTTAATACACCCTCCAAAATATTTTCGCGATAATATTTGGCATTTATTCTGATTAGTACGCGCAGACAGCGACCATCGGCTGTTATGACGGCCCACACCATCACCATGGCCGGCGCTTGAGTTCTGGTGGCCAACCGAAGGTGCACATTTTCAGCTGACCTCTTTGGCAAGTAAACTCGATCATTTTGTTTGATTACTAGCTGCTGGACAACGAATGTTTTCTCATCGGAGAAACCCAAATTCGGCAGTTCACCACTTTCGATGGCAACTCTTTAGCTCTTTTGAGTATATTTTCTTTTTGTGGCGGTGTAAGTTCTTTCACTTTTTGAAATTTCAATGACTGTACCCCGAGCTCATTTTTCAATATTTGCCGAATGGAATATTGCGATATGTTCAGCTCACGAGCCAATTTTCGGCCACTGCGATGCGGGTTTCGATGAAGTCGCTTCTTTACTTTTCAAACCATTGCTGCTGATGTTGCTGTTTTCTTCCGTCCACTTCCTTGAGGTCGGGCTACTCTACCAGTATCACGATAACGAGGGATGGTACGAGACACAAAAGATTTATTCAAATCTAAATGTTGGAATGCTCTAACGATAGCCACTTGTGGCTTTCCTGCCAAATATAAAGCAATCACACCATAACGCTTGAATTCTGAAAACTTCACACCAAAATGCTTTTGTACGCTTGTAAACTATATAATGAAGTGTCACTGGAATAATTTTAACAGCTGTCAGACTAGTGACTTAGAAATGGCAGCAGTCTGAAGTTAGGTGCAGTTTTTTCAGCTCACCTTGTATATGTAAAATAAATAGATCTTAGTTATTCCGCTTATAAGTCAAGAACCGCTAGACTGATTTTCACAATTCTCTTCACTTCGGAATGGTCTCCTGCCAGAAAAGGATAGAGTCTGGGAAAATCGCGTAAAAATATGACAGTAAAAAAGTGTTTTTTTTTTTTGTTGTTACATTTTTACATTGTTGTCAAATTTTTTATAGCATCCTTTTTTAAGTTGACTTTTAATTTTGAATTGCAAATTTTCTTAAGTGTTTCTTCACCACTGCTACACTATATTTTGAGGGTATTATATACAGATTACAATTATCGTTCGATCAGAAATTTTGCAGGGGGTAGTCTTAGGGTCAGTATTAAAGCCTATTGTTTTTAAAGATGTGCTTTTAGGGGTCCAAGTGAACCAAAGAAATTAAAATTTTCCTAGTTTTGCAGCCGCTCTACAGGTCAAAATTGAAACCAATCGACACGGAAGTTTGCATGAGAAGAGAGTTAAGGACAGGGAAGAATTCTAGCTTTTTGAATGACCATTGATTTATATTTAGCTTTGAAATGGACCATAACTTTCGTGTGAAATTGTTTCGAATACAGGGTTGCCCATATTCGACGGACCTTTGGGCCCTTTGGGCCCATTCCAATCGACGAGTCTTGTCCGCAGGCAACATTCTTTGCGTCAATTGAATTTTGTACGGAAACAAATGGAAATCAATGCGAATAATCCGTTGTAAAGTGGACCGAGCCATGCCCAACTGTTGAGAACGGCGTTTTTGGGTTGTTCTTGGGGACCTCTCAACGCTGGCTCGTACGGCAGCGATATTCTCGGCCGATCGCCTTGGTCGACTTTTATATGGCCTCTTCGGATTAGAAAGAGCCTTACCAGTCGAACATTTTTCGTATAAACGCTTAATGGTGTTCTTAGAAGGCGCCCTTCTCACATTTTTTTAATGTTTTAAAAGCACGTTGAGTTTTCACAGTTGACTTCTTCTGTTGAATGTAAATTTCAACTACTTCAGAGCGCTCACGTGGCGTTTATTGGTTCATAGTAAAAATCTGCTTGGACTGACGCTTCAAACGCGGTATGTCATTAAGCGATGTGACATCTCTGTCAAAAGTTATGACGTTGCCAGATGGGTCCGTCGAATATGGGCAACCCTGTAGTCTGCCCCGCACTTCTATAGCTTTTTCTTACTTTTTCGGAATTTTCTACAAATTTTCTTATAAGGTGGATTGAGTGAAATTCCATGTGGATTTAATAGCATTCAGTTTTTAGATCAAACCTGCAAAATAATATGGGGTTCTCGGAGCAAAATTTTTATGGCCCTTTCTATAGCCCTACACAGGCACATATAAACATTTCGTAAAATTTAATATAGAGTCTGAAAATGTTCTAAAATAGCCCCATATTTCGGTCAAATTTTTTATATTTCCCCCAATATAAGCGTCGAACCCGAGTTTTTTAGTTTTTTTTTATATCAAGCTTTCCACTTAGTACCCTCGTATTGAGTTCCGCAAAGAATAAAAACATATTCAAAGAAACAAATAAGAAAACTGACACCTACATATTTTTTGGTGAGCGAACATTATGTGAAGTAAATAAACATAAGCTAACAAATTATGTTCATGTATGTGTGTATGTTTGCATGTGTTTATCTATGTATGTATGAGTGTGAGCTACAACAAATAAAATCCAAGAACAGCCTGTTACAGCGCCTCTACACACCTTAAAACATAACCACATTTTAACATACCATCACCCACACACTCCAACAATCGACCCTAACAAATCCTCCATCCACCTTACCCATACAAATAGCTTCATATACATATATATTATCTCTGTGTGTGTATGAGTTGTGGAGTGGCATTAGTTTGTCATACCATTTGTCAAACGAATGCACAAGAAAAAAACATTAACCAAAATACACTCCTCCCTCACGGAGATAATGCGCATGTCAGGATTTTTTCCGAGTGTGTGTGTTTTTTTTTGCACCATTTCATGGCAAGAACTTTGGTTTACATTTTGTCCTAGTCCTGGTCCTTCGCTGTGTGTGTGTATGTGTGGCACATTGTCCTCCTATTGCAATATGGCATTAAGGAATAAGATAGATTCCACCATGTGCCACCTGAAGCACATGGTGGAATGTAAGTTACCACATTTTCTCTTGCTCTCTCTCTCTGGCTGCGAGGGAAATTACGATATATCCTCCAATATACGGATGTTGAGAAACGAGTACTCCCGATTGGATGCCTTCGTAACTCGTGTATCGTAATCAAAGCCAAACGAAGCTCGTGATGCTGTTTTTGCGTTCTTCGTCTCATGATGATGCCTTTTGCCATGGTTGGCTGCCAGCATCAGTTTCAGTTTGAAAACGTCGTTGCTCATATTTGGACGCTTCGTTGCCTCTCGATGAGATTGATGGTGGGATTATTGTTGTTGTCGCTCTTGTTGTCATCGTCGGCTAGTATATGTTAACAATTGTGACAGTGCTGGACATAAGTCTTAAATAAATATATCCTGCTGTAATGCATCTGTGTCTGTGTGTCAGTCAGTCAGCCAGGAAGGATTTAATTCAATCATCGCATCATCGTTACTTCAATTATCAACTGTGAAAGGCTGCAGCCGTGAGCGGCATTACTACACAGTAGTAGAGTTGCATCGAGCCAAATGTTCGACTGGTGCATTTCTGATTTTGTTGTGTGTATATATGTGTGCGTGGGTGTAAATTTACATTCTATGCATACATGTGTAAGCTGGCATTAATTGTTACTGGCTGAATGTGTTACAAATAAAACAAAGCCAGATCTGTGAAATAAAAAAACACATCAATTGTTCCGGGCACTTGCATTACAGTTTCAATTGCAGCAATTCTTGATAATACCACGGAGCGAAAAAAAACGCTGAATTAAACATTCCCGCCTCACAAGTTTTTATTTTATTTTCAAAGCGAAAGGCAACAACGGTTTTGTAAAATAAATATTAAAAAAAAAGAATATTTATAATCACTGCATTTAAATATTATTATCATTGTGTGTGCGTGTGTGTATTTTATATAAATGCCAACAAACAAAGAATAATAAAAATGTACAACAAAATATATTATTAAAAATAATTTTTTATTAAATAACAAAAAAAAGCAAATGCATTTCCTTGTTAAAAATTAATTTATCATTGTAAGTGATTACTGTTGTTGTGATTCATAAAAAACGAAGAAGAGAAAAAAATAAACAAAAATTACTACTTTCATCAGCGTAAATGCATTTCAGTGCAAGTGTTCGGATAATAAAAAATTAAAATCGAAAAAATAAACTACATTCATAAATTGCATTACACAAGCCATACAGCCACTGCAAAGTCAAAAGAATTAAGTGTAATTTTCAACGGCATTTTTTCTCCGGGAAAAGTATGAAAAGATGATGATGATGACGATGATCATGTCGGCGAAAATAGTTTTGTTTGTGATTTTAAATTGTTTTAAAGGTAATTTGTATTTTTTTATTATTGGTTTAAATGAAAATTTTTGTAAATTCTAGGAATGTATTTATACTCGTGGGAATGTGGTTTAACGTTATAGTTGCATTTATATTCTTTACTGGATATTAATAAAATAATGTTCTTCACTTTTTACAAATGAATTTAAAAGAAGTATTAACATAATTTTTAAGAAGTTAAATGCGGAAAATAACTTCTTGTGTAATTGTATATCCCATATGCATGGATAAGAGTACATATATTATTTAATAATTAATTTAATACGCCCAAAAGGTGCCTCATCGATATAACGATTTTAGACCCTAGGTCTCTTTAGACCAAATCCGCTTCAGCACATTTAAAGTCGACTTAGCGATGTCCGTCCGTCCGTCTGTCTGGCTGGTAACGATATATCTCCAAGGGAGTATTCGATTTGATCCGAAATTGGTACATCGTAATATTATTCTTAAACTTAGATCGAGTTCGGAAATAGGTAATATTGGTCCACTCTGGTACCTCCCCCACAAAAGATCGAAATTTTTAAGAAAAAATAAAATACTGCACAGAAAAAGAAAGGATAATCCGATTTTTTCTCCAACTTTGCAAATCTCAATATTTACATTTGTGCTGGTCATGTTCATCCCCACAAAGGCTTAACATTTTGAATAGCTATAACTCTCATAAAAAGCGAAATTAGTTGTAATATATCCCACAATTGGTCAAATTTATGAATAATTATATCTCTCATAAAACTCCAAAAAATATCAGATTCTATTTAAGTTTCAGATATACAGGGAGAAATAAAACAAGTTCAACAAAGTCATACGCCATAAGTTTTACATTTTTTTTAATTTCATTTAATGAAAGCATAAAATGTCCAAAATGCCATTAAGTTTTAGAATAAGTTTCGATTTGTTCGAATTGGTCACCTTTGGCACGATTTATGGCCTTCAAACGGCCAATGAAACCGTCACCGCTGCACGCAGATTTTGGTGGCCATTGTGCGCTGGAAATGAAGCGAGGAACCTCATTTTGTAACCATTCTTGGTTGGCACGTGCTGAGTCCTGTTGGAATGTCCAAGGTCTGTGGCCAATATCTTTGCGTGCCTAAGGCTTCAATACACCCTACAGAATATTTTCGTGATAATATTCGGCATTTATTCTGATGCCACAGCCGATACAAGCGGAGAGCGACCATCGGCTGTTATGGCGGCCCACACCATCACCATTGCCGGTGCTTGAGTTCTGGTGGCCAACCGAAGGTGCACATTTTCAGCTCTTTTTTTTGGGAAGTAAAAGCGATGCGGGTTTCGATCAAGTCGCTTCATTACTACTCAAACCATTTCTGCTGATGTTGCTGTTTTCTTCCTTCCATTTCCTTGACGTTGGGCTACGCTACCAGTATCACGGTAACGAGCGATGGTGCGACACACAAAAGAATTATTCACATTTAAATCCTGAAATGCTCTAACGATAGCCACTTGTGGTTTTTCAGCCAAATATAAAGAAATCACACTATCACGCATGAATTCCATCACGAATAACACTTATTCTGAAAAATTCCCACCAAAATGATTCTGTACGCTTGTAAACGATATAATGAACTCACTGGAATAATTTTAAAAGCAGTCGGACAAGTGGCTTTTAAATGACAGCAGTCTGAAGTTGGTTGCAGTTTTTTCATCTCACCCTGTATATACTCAATGTGGTCTAAGACGAACTTTTGGGGATGTTACAAACGGAATGACAAAGTTAATATACTCTCCTTTTCAATGTAATGGGTATAAAAATCAAAATCGTCGCGAGCGATAATACAGTGCATATTTAATGTCACAGACACATTTTTATACGGGCTCTAGTTTCTATACAAGTGTTCTAAATTGCTAGCATTCCGAAATTTTGTATATGGGTCATGCAGCCTTCTAAAAAGAGGTATTGTGAATGTATTGGTCTTATTTTCAGCAGAATTGGTGCAATATTGCATGTTCTTAACAATATTTTTCAATACAGATCTATTATTTAGTACAGACCCCATATACTGCAATTATAGGGATTATGTCTGATGTTATTTTGGTCATATTCCTTATAATAATTTGGGAATTATGTCCGCTTAAAAAACCGCATATAATCCCCATGGGGAGAATGACCGTTTGCAGTGTGGATTATGCCCGCATTTTTTCGAACTATGGATCGCATAGCCTACATTAGAGAAATCCCAGAGAAGTAAATCTCAAATCTCAAATCACAAACATCTTCGGAACTACAAGAGATATCAGCACATTTGGCACCACTTTGGAAAGGCAAGGGTATAGCCTTATAATTTAATTTACCGATCCATCAACCCCGTAATGGGTCTATTTTCCACTTTTTAGGGGTTATTAAAAAAGCGACGGTAAGTAAATACCAATTTTTATACTTGTATTTGTATTACTTCGAAACCGGTTCAAGCAACCCCATCATATGACCACTTGTAAGAGAGATAGTTCCATACGTTTTCAAATTATAATCATTTTGTAGAACCGGATAATACCCGAATTTTATATTTGAACTTTTGGGACGGATAACCAGGTATTTCCCCAAGAATGAATACTTTGCCGCAATCAAGTTAATCAGATGTGTAATATTCGTCCAAATGGAATGGATTTTGGCACATCCGATCGACTTCAGCCTAGATGCATGTACTTCAATCTTGGTGAAAATCGCTATAGTTCCCTTGTATATGTTTCATCCGATTTAGTGTTTAAGTTCCTGATGACGTTTGGGACCAGATGCAGCTCAAGAATACCTGTACTATTTTTTTTTTGATATGGGTTCAAATTTGGGTGTAGCTTCCATATATATCTTCAGTTATTCCACATTATTTAATCTAGAGCTTTGAAATTTGGTACAAAGGTTTATGTTATATACAGGCTGATTGCTATTGAAAATGGGCTATATTGGTATAGCCCTTTGGTAATGGTACCTCCCAAATTTCGGTATTTTGAACATTTCTGCCACAATTTCCAACCAAATTAGATGATAATATGGGTTTGGCTATTTTTTTTTTTTTTAAATTAAAACGGATTGATATTCTGAGCTAACATATTTCCATTTCCATTATTTCATTTTACTTTGATAAACATAGTGGTGGGTGTATAAAAAGTTCGGATCAGCCGAACTTAAAGCCCATTTTACTTCTTTATTTTAATATATTTTAGCAGGGAAACGATATATATTTTAATAAGAGTTTTGATTATTAAAAAAAGTGAAGAAAGTCTTAAAGTCGTGGGGCGACTTTATGATACCCTACACCACTTTGCACATTTAGTACAGCCTCACATAACAAATAAAAGTTTTTTTAGTTATAATTTAAAGTCCTAAAGAACTAATATATGATTGAAATACCTTACTCTAAATCTATTTCCACTAAATTTTCGGAGGCATTTGTGCACCAAAACTTCAAATCGGATAAAGATATATATATTGCAACTATGTTCCAATCTGAACCGATTTTGAAAAAAATTGGAAAAGGTACTTTTAAGCTGTTTTTGATATATTTCTCCGCATATCGTTGTTACGGAGTGCCTATTAAGACTGTGGAGAACAACTATTAAAAATCGGATGAATAATATGTATGGAAGCTATAGTTATATTTGAACCGGTTTTCATCAAATTTGACATACTTGTTTCTGGACTTAATTTGGTTGTAAGTGCCAAATTCCATCCCATTTGAGCTAATATTACATGTTTGGTTCACAATAAAAGGTAAATCGGATACGAAGATATATATAGGAGCTATATCCAAATTTGAACCGATCTCAATAAAATTTAGCAAAGGAGGACAAAACTAACAAATTGGATGAACAATATATATGGGAGCTATAGCTATACCTGAACCGATTTCGATCAAATTTAGCATACTTATTTGCAGACCTTATTTGGTCGTATGTGCAAAATTACATATTATTTGAGCAGATATTACACATTTGGTGCACAATAAAAAGCAAATCGGACGAAGATATTAATGGGGTTCGTCCTTGGGCCAAAAAATTGACTTGTACAAAATTTCATATGGATCGGGAAATAAATGCGAATTTCTTTACAAAAATTCATGAACAGACGGACGGACGGACATGCATAAATCGACTCAGAATGTGATTCTGTGCAGATCATTAAAAGTAACTGTGGATCTATCTCGATTCCGTTTGCCTGTTACAAACTAATGCACAAAGACATAATACCCTGACCACCTTGTGGTGTAGGGTATAAAAAATTATGAGAGTTGTGATTATTAAAACTGTTGACTCTTCATCTTCGGAGATTTTTAGTAAATATGATCCTTTATGCCAGGCTTCAACTTAATCGGGTACTTTCAATATTTAGCGGGTGAAATGGACTATAACTTTTGTGTAAAACATACCAACATTTCCATTTAATCGCGAATAGTGTGAATGCTAAAAGTATATTTTCGGGGAAATTTCAAATACATGAAAGGACTTTTCTGAGCTGATTTTGTTGAGGCAGATATTCAGAAATCGGAGATGACTTTATATCAGGAAATTAAAAAAAGATTAAAGGAACATGCATGAACGAAAGGATTAATAACCATACGATCTGTTTTAAATTGAAATTGTACACTTTAGCTTCGGGTACCTCCCTAACAACGGGTCAACACTTTGAATATTCATGAAGTTCGTAAATGAGAATCCGATTCATTTCAAACTCCTCACATCTCAATATTTCCAAAAACACAAGACCAGGTATATAGATCTGGTACCTCCCACACAACGTGTCAAATTTTTGAATAATTAATTCGGAACCACCCGCATTAATGGACGCCAGTTTGAATAATTACAACGCAACTTAAAACATATTCGGACAATAGCTGGGGGAATACATCTGTCGGCAAAATCGGCTGATACTTTTGTACTTTGAAAAAACCTTGAATTTCTATGCGATATCAAAATGATTAGACAATTATCGATCGCGATATAAGTTCAAGACAAAGCGTATACGCCCCAATGTTTTTT